ATTAATATGAACAATTGCATGTAATGCCCATGCATCTACATACGAAATATTCTGGAAGACAATTTATCATCGATACGTCATTACTAATATTATTGAAAAATATCAAAAGATGAAAGACTATGGTGCTACTACCAGTGCAACTAACAATATTCCACTGAGTGAAATACTCAATGATTCGAAACATTACAATAGAGAGAAGAAGAAACAAACTTTGAAACTAATCAGAGGAATTAAATCAAATTCTGGACAGAAAAAACTAATTCCCTTCGTTGTACATAGGGCAGTGATGCAATCACTTTTGAATGCCTATGATAAACATATATTGGAGGTATGATAAACATATATTGGAGGATGGTAGTGCTGCTGAGAGAACCTCTTCTATAAAGGAAAAACTATTTTTAAATTTACAACAAAATGTGGTGGATAAAGGATTCAAGTATTTGATGGAAAAACAAATTAATTCAGAAATGACTATAGCTCAAAATGTTTTCTTTGGAGGTTTGAAGACTACTTTTCAACATCATTCAAATGAAATTGTACTGAATTTTCTGATACATGTCTTGGGAGAGGAATATATGAGTAATATTAGTGTAAAGAAGAAATTTAATCCAAATGTAATTGATTTGAAATTGGTTCTAAAGAAATTATTCAGAGGAATTTCCGAAGAGTTTCATTCTAAATTGTATTGGGATATGATGATAGAATTATCATTGCAGAAATTACCTGAATTAATTCCAAAGAAAGAATTTTCAAATGTTTTAAAGGGCTTATTCGAATCTAGAAAATTCAAAGCTCCAATATCTTGGATATCAATTATGTATGCCAATTGTTATTATTATGAGGATGTAAATGAGCTAATGTATGAACTTTTGAATAGGAATGGAATTGATACTTTTGGACCATTGGCAATAAGTGAATATTTTACAGAATCCATTTCAAAAACATTTTCTTTATTGGCAGAATATCAGTTTTTCATCAAATATTTACAATTTTTGGGAAAATTCCTAGAAGGAGAGAAAATTAATGTACAAGTTACTGAAAATAGTTATTTTTATTCGTTAATGGGACGATTATCCAATGAAGAGAGTACTAATTTGAATGATTTTCTTGATAATTTACCAATTCCATTATTAGAGATGATTAACTTGAAAAGTATGAACCAATTCCATGTCAATATACATAGAATATTGGAATATGTTAAAGGGAAAGGAATTTTATATTCTCAATCAGCCATAGAGAATTATTTGGCAGGATTTTACCTCTATTCAACACAATACGGTCAAATAATTAAATTCTTAATTGACAATTATCATACAGCAGATATTTATGAAATAGAAAAGAAGGTGAAATTCTACCCAAAACTTGTACAATATTTATCAAATATCTATAATAATGTGGCTGTATATGTTAATGAGTTTGCCACTTTATTTCCATCAGATAAACCAATTGATTTGGACAAGCTTTCTGAATCGTGCAGTAGTAGTAGTAGTAGAAGTAGTATTAGTATTGGAGATTTAATTTTAAAAAATTGGAAAAATCCAAAAGAATTTGTACAATTTTGTAAGAAACGTTTCATTCAGAATATTTTCTATTTACCAACAGTTTACCGTATTCTGTCACAAGTACTCAAATATTACAATGATAATTTAGAGATTAAGAGAGCTATCTATGAAGCAGCCATGTTTAATGAAAATCTAAAGCTCTCTAATTACGTTACCCAATTACTTGAGGAAGAACCTGAATTATTACAAGAAACCACACTTCAATTCAATAATTATCATCAAACAGATCCAAGGTTTGCCATTTCAGTCTATCTATTTTGTAATGAGAAATAATTATTTTTGTAAGCAATCCAGAGTTGGTAAAAAACCCATTTTTGAAACAAACGAGAATTTTCCATTTCTTCATATCTTTAGAGACCTCTATTGTTTCTTCCTTCTGACTTTTTGGATTAAATTCAATAGTTTTGAATATTGCTCTCCTTGATTTTGTTTGTGGTTTTATATCTAAATTTACAATAATAATATCATACATATTTACAATTATTTTTCTGCAATATTTAAAGTGATTTGCTTTTCAGCCAAGTTTGCTAGAGTCAGTGGCTTTGACAACAATAACCACCACACACAACAATAATAATACTAATACCAATACTAATAATAATATTAACAATAACAATATTAACAATAATACTCATTGTCTTCCCAATGACATGTTAATAATAATATTTCAATTTCTCAATCAACAAGATTTTATTATAATGTCACTTGTTTGTAAATATTGGAGATTTGTTGGTCAACAACCATTCCGAAAGGAATTTACAAATTACAAATTATACCCCTCTTATTCAATGATTACTCCAACATTTATTACCAATTCATTTGAATTTTTTAATTTCTTTTCTTCCATAACATGCTATTTATTTAATACAGTACCTAAATCAACATTTAAAACTATTTTACTCTCTCAGAAATTACAAAGTTTATTTGTAGATTCTTGTTGTTTGGTTAAAAATATAATACCATTCCATTCAATGATAAAAAAACATTCCTCCAATAATATCACTGAATTGGGATTAAATTATAAAATGAAAAAGAAAGATTTACGTGCTCTATTTCAAGTACTTCCAAATTTGAAACATTTAAGTTTAGGAATGGGAGCAACAGAATGTTTAATTAGTACAGAATCATTTCTTAGTACATGTTGTCATAAATTAGAATCACTCCATTTACAATTATTACCTGAAAATCATAAAAATATTGTAAAATTATTAAATGGAATATTTAATCCATCACTTTCAACAACAACAACAATATCCAATCTCATTGATATTAGAATATTTATAACAGAATCTTATTCAATTAATAGAAAATTAATTTTACATTTGATTTTAATTCATTTCCATATTTAAAATATTTATTTCTTGATATTACCTATATTTATACATTAGAATCAATTAGTAATGTATTATTAAATTCAACTAATATTTCAAAATTAATAGAATTTGGATTTGGAACTGTTAGAAAATCTATTGAAAAATTACATTTTAAAAATAGTGAAAATTTAAAAAATTTAAAAAAATTATTTTTAAATAGAACAGAAATGATGACAAATATAGATAATCTTCCTTCATTAGAATTATTATATATAGATGAACATGAAAAAAAACATTGTTCCACTAAAAATTATTCAAAACCATGGAATTTAGCATT